GCAGCAGCAGGAGGCCCCATTAGCTAAAGTGGTGTCTCAGGTTAAGAACAGTTTCAGATTAAGAACGGACCTCCAGAACGAATTAAGTTCTTAACCAGAGGTACCACTGTATTCTGTTTGTTGTGGGTCCCACTGCTGCCATTTAGCGATATGTCGTGCCTCCACGGCAGCCATTTTCTCAAAATTTCAAGTGTGTGCTAAGGGTTATGGATGGAAATTCGTCTGGTTTCATTAGCTTGGCCCAATGAAGACCAATTTGAGCAGACTTTGTTTTTTGTTTTTGTTTTTAACCCATCTGTCTATCCAAAATCAGCAGGTCTGTGTTGTAATCCGGCAGTGCTCAGCAGTTTATTACACATGTAGGGCAGGTTGAATGGCGTTATTTTTTGGCCAAGTCTCTAGCTCTATGAGCCGCTAAGTTTGATTCCAGCCGAAGTAAGCCATGTTAAGAGAAAAACAGTTCAGGCATGTTTTGCTTTAAAATAACACATGCTCACAGCTGCATAAAATTACCCAGAAGGCTAGAGCTGCTGACGGTTTCTTGAATCAAAGGTGGAGAGATTGTTAGCAAATTATACCTTTTATCTTAGCAAAACAGGGGGAAAGCACCCAAATTGCTATCAGTACAGCTGATAATTTAAGTGCTCCAGCAGAAAGGTATAATTAAAAGGGAGTTACATGCTACAGAGATCACTTTGAGCCAGGGTCCATGTTTAACGTAGCATGCTCATTAGCCTTAATGATAGTGATCTTTCCTGACATCTTGCTTTATTAATTCTACTGTCTTTTGAGTGTGTTCTCTCACAATAACTGATGCGGGGGGGGGGGTAATCACACCAAATCACAGATGTACCGAGACCAGATTACTGCAAAGCCTTGCAAAGCATCCAGAAGTTTGAACTGGTGCAAAAATGCAATCTCTGGGTTACGAATATTGCCAATGCATTAATCAGTGTTACTACAGTGCATGCAAAATGCTGGCTAGACTATCCGAAATTGAAGATGCGCAGCACACCTCACGTCAGGTCACACTTCTCTAAATATATCCACTTATTTCCCCAACTACAACATGAAGCTTCAGCAGAAGCCTCTCTGGTAATAAAAGACAATACATCCTTCTTGAAAACAGCTAACGGAAGAGATCTGTGCAGCCGTGCCCCAAATTACAGTATCGTCTCCACATCCTCAGACTCGCAAATCCAATAATGTCCAGCCCATTCCAATCTTCCTCTTTGTGCAGACATTAAGAAGCCATCCAGTATTGCTTCTTGAGAGGTATTTAGCACTTCAGACTCTTACAGCAATTATCATTGCCTGTGAAACCCATACTTAAGACTTCAGGGTTATGAAATCGTAACAATAAAAAGCTGTTGGAGAATCAGAAGCCTCATCTTTCCAGTTCTGAAAGCGGTGTTGAAATGTCTGCATGCCATAGGTGAGCCTAGAGGCAAGGAGGAGGGTTTGCCTAGAGGCCAAATGAAGCGTGGTGATAATTGGGTAATTGCAATTAACATGTCTAGCTTGAAAAAATCCAATAGCAGCCATGGGTGGGGAGAGAAAGAAGTGCACAGGGCAATAAGATCAGGACCCAATGCGTAGGGGAAGTGGCTAACCCTTTCCTCCTATGCTGCAGCCCTGATGAAAATAGTACAGTGGCTGCTTTTGGTTCCTGGAAGGAAGTTTCCATTTGTGCCTATGGGGGTTATTGCCAGGGTTTTTGAGGGAGTGGGGAGGACAGATAAAAAAGGCAAAGGACCCCTGGATGGTCAAGTCCAGTCAAAGGTGACTATGGGGTTGCAGCGCTCATCTCGCTTTCAGGCCAAGGGAGCCGGTGTTTGTCCACAGACAACTTTCTGGGTCATGTGGCCAGCATGACTAAACCGCTTTTGGCACAATGGAACATGGTGACAGAACCAGAGCACATGGAAATGCTGTTTACCTCCCTGCTGCAGCGGTACCTATTTATTGACTTGCACTGGTGTGCTTTCAAACTGCTAGGTTGGCAAAAGCTGGGACAGAGCAACAGGAGCTCACCCCATTGCGTGGATTCGAACCGCCGACCTTCCAATCAGCAAGCCCAAGAGGCTCAGTGGTTTAGACCACAGTGCCACCCGCTCCCGGGGAGGACAGATAGACTGTCATTGGTACTATAACAACGGGAGGGTAAGCCCTCCTCCGTATGCACTACCATCCCAGTCCTGATATCAGAAACAAATCCCACAAACTAAACTTGTTGATTGCAATCACATGCAATTAATGTTCCTAGTTTGATCCTCTGCCATCCTTCCCGCTGCGACCCCCATCTCTGACTGTACCTACATTGCATTCTCAAGTCCAAACTTGATGTGTCAGAGATGCATCTGTGTCTCTAAAGGGAGTCCTGTGCACAGGTGAGGGGCACCAGCACACACTAGGCCTGGGCAATAGATCCATATATCTCCCAGGACCGGTATGAAGAGCAGACTGTGATGAAGAGTTTGGACTTGATATCCCGCTTTATTACTACCCGAAGGAGTCTCAAAGCGGCTAACAATCTCCTTTCCCTTCCTCCCCCACAACAAACACTCTGTGAGGTGAGTGGGGCTGAGAGACGTCAGAGAAGTGTGACTAGCCCAAGGTCACCCAGCAGCTGCATGTGGAGGAGCGGAGATGAGAACCCGGTTCACCAGATTATGAGACTACCGCTCTTAACCAGTACACCACACTGTTGCCTTCACTCAGTGGTATATTGCTAGTGAAACCATCGCCACTTCTGAGTCCCTCTGCTAGCAGCATCCGCTGGAAGGAATCAAGACTTCCTTCCTCCAGTGGGTGCTGCTAGCAAAGAGAGGCCAGGCCAAGTAGCCTTAAGCTGCTAGGGAAGGAGCCTTATAGAGCAGCAAGAAGGCAGGGACCTTCAGTCCTTGCAACTGCCTCTTTGGGGCAAGACCTACTGGGAAGAGTTGCTGTGATCACTAGGCCTGCACTGCTTTGATTTCTTTGAATAAGGGGTTAACTTCACTGACACTGGATGTTTTATTGCTGTCCTGCCTCTGCCTCTGGCTCCAGACAGCTGGCTTTGGCCTTTAATGCCTTGAGATCAGATTACCTGAAATAACTCTTCTTCCTTGATGTCCCTTGTTGTTGTTGTTTAGTCGTTTAGTCATGTCCGACTCTTCGTGACCCCATGGACCAGAGCACGCCAGGCACTCCTGTCCTCCACTACCTCCCACAGTTTGGTCAAACTCATGCTGGTAACCTCAAAAACACTATCCAACCATCTCGTCCTCTGTCACCCCCTTCTCCTTGTTCCCTCCATCTTTCCCAGCATCAGTGTCTTCTCCAGGGAATCTTCTCTTCTCACGAGGTGGCCAAAGTATTGGAGCCTCAGCTTCAGGATCTGTCCTTCCAGTGAGCACTCAGGGCTGATTTCCTTAAGAATGGATGTGTTTGATCTTCTTGCAGTCCATGGGACTCTCAAGAGTCTTCTCCAGCACCATAATTCAAAGGCATCAATTCTTTGGCGATCAGCCTTCTTTATGGTCCAGCTCTCACTTCCATACATCACTACTGGGAAAACCATGGCTTTAACTATACGGACCTTTGTTGGCAAGGTGACGTCTCTACTTCTCAAGATGCTGTCTAGGCCTGTCATTGCCCTTCTCCCAAGAAGCAGACGTCTTTTAATTTCGTGGCTGCTGTCTTTTAATTTCGTGGCTGATGTCCCTTACCTAAGGACTATCCTCAGAGACTCATCTCCAGATGCCCTCACCGAATGAGGTGTGGCAGACGTGTATTTAGGACAGGACCATTTCAGAGGTAGCACCCCAGTGGAGTGCGTCAGAGAAAATTTTGGAATTATAGAAAATATAGAATGAAAATTGAAGTGCGAGAAAGAAGGGCTGAGCAAGGGTGGGATGTGAACGTTGTGCTTGCAAGAGAACCAGGAGAGAAGGACAAAGTAGCACGAAAGCAGGAGAAACTGTAGGAGGATGAAGGATGAAGGCCGTTGCTATGTCAGAAGGGTGTTGTTATGCTACATGACTTAGCCAGACAGAATACCTATTGTTTATGAAAGCTCAAAGTTTAAATATTACTGTGCCTTTTACCTGGCATGATACTTTCCTCTTTTGCATCCATTGCAATGCTTTTAATAAAAGAACGTCCTGTTTTGCTGACCTCTGGAATCTAGATTTTATTGGCCATCCAGGCTGAACCCACAAGGTATTGGGTAGTGAACCCAAATATTTCCCTGACGTTGTTGTTGCTGTTGTTGGCATCTGTCTGCCTCGAGAGGCAATGGAGTGCAACTTTGGGGGTGAAGTCAAACTGCTGTTTTAGCAGCACCAAAGCGACCTCCCCAGGGGGCAAGCCTGGGTAGTGTGTATGGAGGTCCTGAGTTGCCCAGAAGACAAGACTTCTCAGCCTCCCTGAAGTGGTCCAAAGGAAAGCAGAGAGATGTTTGGCTGCAGGAGTTGCTGGAAGGAGACATACAAGGTGCCATCCAACCATCTTAGAGACTCCACTCCAGATCTGTATAGGGTTTAACAAACCAGGGTTCCCTGACAACACTTGTTTTCCTTTGCTCTTTTCTGGGCTAGAAGAAAACCTGTTTGTTTTTCCACGCCTTTTAAGGGTGTGTGTTTAATTCATTGGTTTTATTCTCTTCTACTGAGGTTTTCATTCTGCACAAGATCTCCTCCCCTTTTTTCTTACAGTTTATAATTGTACTCTTAATGTTTCTACAAGCCATACAGAAAACTTTATTAATGGGTGATTTATAAATACTTCTAATAAATGCACACATGGGGGTACTATCTTACAAAATGCATATACACCTGGTGTGCAGATATTGGGAAGGTGAAGCTCACTTGCATGTGTGCAGGCAATGTGTGTGAAACATGTATATGATTAGCACATGTTACTGCCTGCACAGAGATAAATCTGGTAACAGTAATCATATAATTTATTTATTATATCAATTGAAATCTGAGCTAATTGTCTTCTTATTTTGATTCTAGAAACCTTGGAAAGTCTGGATTAAGAGTTTCGTGTCTGGGGCTAGGTGAGTATTTTATTGTTACTTTAAGGATAGAGGGAAGAAATTATACTAGCCATGTTCATCTGCATGATTCTGCTAATGGTAGTAGCTCTGGGTTAAAATGTGAATAATAGTGAGTTTCCCATGTTCTTATTGCCTCTGTTTATTCCATTTCTTAGATGCCCAGTATAATGCAAAAATATATTATGATGAAAAATATACACAAGATTAAAACGGTGACAACAAGCACTTACAAATTATTATACTCCCACAATGCAATCCCAACCATGTTGATTCTGAAGTAGATCATATTGAATTCAGTGGGGCTTACTCCCGGGTAAGTGGGGTTATGATTGCAGCCTAATGCTAAAAGTAACAAACAGATACCCCCACCCCCTTCCAAGCGCATGCAGGCCAACATGATCAGCAAGAAATAACTAGCCACTTAAAACACCCATAAAGATAAGAGAGATGTTAACAAGCAAGTCAAATGCCTGATGCTTAAAAGATGTTAGCAGAGGCGCTGGCAGGTGAATTTCCTTGAGGAGAGTATTCCACAAATGGGAGGCCAGTACTGTTTTTGATTTGAAAATTTGCATGAATACATGACACGTGCATTTATTTGACTTCACTTTCTATGAAACTGTGTCAATGTTGCATGCATCTAGTTCATCTACAGGGGCATATAAAAATATTATATTCCATACATCTTGCATATTTTTGCCTTTAGCGCCTCTAAGATCAAACAGAGCTTTCAAACAGATAATCTGCACAGTCAAGAAAGCAGTTTATTTAACATTTTCGAGTCCCATGTATGATGAATTTAAGTGCAGCTAGATTCAGGAACAGTGATTTCAAATCAAGCAAGATTCAGAGTTGTACCCCCGAAGAGAAAAGAAATTTTTTCTACTCAGATTTGTAGCTTCCAATGTTCTTATTCAGGGGATATATTTCTGTGTACATATATTGGGCAGTAGACCAAAAAAATCCATCAACTTTCCATTTAGAGGAAGAGCGCGATCTAGCCCTATAAGCATGCATTGCAGTGACATTTTCCATAGCTTCAAAGAGACCCCAGTTTGCATGCAGGTCCAACCAGTAATGCGTTCTGTGTGTGTCATTTGCTCACTGCCTCTAAATCTAAGACGACTTTGAAATTCATACCTCCAGAGTTTTCTTATCGTACGGGGGCTCTTTCTGAAAACCTTCCACTGCGTGGAATCTGGCACAGCTTAGCATACCTCACTGTGTTGCTATGAGACGTAAGCTTTTCGACGCTGTGGGGTCCATAGATGAGAGTGAAAACATAATAATCAAATTTGACTGCTCCCAAGGCTTTGTGCAACCTGAAATTGGATTAATCCTGAGAAAACGTATCAATTTATAAGCAGAGATATCTAAACGTCCTCAAGACCATACCCTGGCAACAAAGTGTACACTATAACCTGAAATGCAACCTGTTCGTTGCCACAAAACCCTTCTTTATTTATATGACTTTTCCTACAATCACAGGGCTCTGCTGCCTATTGTTATTCTCACAGTGGACTTCAGAAGTAGGTTCGGATGGAAGAGGAATTTGCCAGATTCACACACTGCAACTAGTTCTGTTTACCAGGGATATGTTTTCTGGTACCAGTCCCTGGTAAATCACTGGACTTTTTAAACCTGATTTCTTTTTCCTTTGGGGAATCCTAAGTTAAAAATTTGTTAGAGTGCAATTAAGGTTGGTGGAGAAATTTGATTCAGTTCACATTTAAAGGCAAATCTATCTAATTTGTGCATCCTAAGATATTATAGATGAACTGAAATATAGCCATCCTTCAAAATTATCAATAATGTGTGCCAAAATGGATGTACTTGAAGAATGTGTGCATGGATACATGCATGAGTGAAAATTATTATTATTATTATTATTATTATTATTATTATTATTATTATATTTATTTATTTATTTGTACCCCGCCCATCTGGCTGGGTTTCCCCAGCCACTCTGGGCGGCTTCTGACAAAGATTAAAAATACATCAAAATGTCACAAAATAACATGCATAAATGTCATATGTCCGGGGGGGGGGCTGCTTATAAAAATATTTGCATTAGATTGCATACAAAACGGTATATGAGGAGAAATTTGCACTAAAAAGCTGGTGGGTATTTGTTCATGAAAACTTCAAAATAAAATCAGGAACTGGTCCAGAAAACTGGACTTAAGGGTGTGAAAATGAGAAACAGAGAGAAACAAAAATCGACAGGTTTGGTCATCCTTAGGCGCAAACATTTTTATACTGTCTGATAGCAGCCAAGGGCCAACACTGCACACCTTTTTTCCCCTGAGCCCAAAGAGGGCTCCGATGTCTGACTGCACCAGGTCACTAGGCTTGTGCGAAGGAGGGGGGGTGATACCTTGGTATTGCTCTTGCAGATGACCTGATTCTAAGTACTGGCAGGCCGGAAGAGGAATGGTGAGTTGAAGGCAAGACAAAGGAAACCTTCTGGCATGCAGCTGGGGCTGCTGAAAAGGCATCTGCTGGGAGCAAGAGGTGCCATTGTTGCAAGACAGGACTGAGGATTTATGGGCAGAACAAAGGAATGCATGTGTAAGGGAAGGTGAGAGGGAATCTTGTTCAGATAAGGTTAAAGAACAGAGGGAAATGCAGAAGAAGCAGAAAGGAGTTAAGTTACACAAAGCAGAGGGCTGCGCATAAAACCCTGCCTTTAGTATGGGATTAACTTGAACGCCTCTTAAAGATCCAACAATAAAAACATGATAATGTGTAGGATCCTGGTCTTTCTTGAAACCAGTCACACTCTGAAGCAAACGTGAACGGCTCTCATTATAAGGGAGAATTTTACAGATAGTAAAATTCCAACTTTAAGCCCCTGGATCTCAGACAGAATTAACTTTCTTTTATTTCTGGTTTGGTTTGTGTTTGTGTTGTTGTTTTTTCCTCTTCTCATTTTGCAATATATAACGGACAAGAACTGTTACAAATATCTTGACTGTCTTTGCATGGTGTTATAGATGTAGGGTAAACCCTAGAAATTAATAAATGCTACGGTTTTTGTTATTTTTATCTCCCGGGTGGCAGCCAGGGAGATGAACCGACACAGGAACGGTTCCTGCTCACAACAAACCCCCCCCCCCCTGCGAAGAGGAGAGGCTTTGCAAGAAAGGAGATTCCGATTAAACATTGGGAAAAACTTTCTGACAGTAAGAGCTGTTCGTCAGTGGAACAGACTCCCACGAGAGGTGGTGGACTCTTCTTCCTTGGAGGTTTTTAAGCTGAGGTTGGAAGGCCATCAGTCATGGATGCTTTAGCTGAGATTCCTGCATTTCAGGGGGTTGGACCAGATGATTCTATAATTCTAGGAGCCGATGTGGCCTCAGAATAAGCAGGCGAGGGAGCCCAGCCAGCCAGTCCACCACCGCTCTTGCTGTTGGGAATGGACGGACAAGTCCCAGGCCCCTATGGGGCAGTGTGAGGAGGCACCTCTCTTTGGGGGGGGGGGGTGTTCAGCTCAGAGACCTGGGACGGCAGCAGCAGCTGCCTAGAGGACTCCCAAGCAGAGGGGAGGGGAGAGGAGGCTGAGGGAACCCTCCACAAGGGAGTGTGTTCGAAAAAGGGTGAGAGGCTGCCAGCTCTGCAGGCAAGGGGTGACATAACTGGGCTCCTGAGCCCCACAGGGGTGGCACAGAAAGTATGCAGTTGGTTAAGGGAGCCATGAACTCAAAAAGGTTAAAAACCTCTGCATTAGAGGAGTCATGATTGAAAATAATATACATTGTCATGCGGTACAAATAGCACACAAGACGATGCTCCAATCAAGGAGATCTCTCCAAAGTCCACCATGAAACTGGGGGGAGTCCTTGTCTGTTTTTTCCTGCCTCACAGGGATGTCCACTCATGAGTGCTGAGCCCTTTGGGGGGCCCAATTTTTCGGGGGGTTGGGGCAGTCCCCCCAATGTTCCCCAAAATCAGGGGGCAGAGGAGGTCAAGTGAGAAGCTAAGCAAGGTGTGGCTTCAGTGGCCTGATGTGGAGGTGAAGGAGGTTCGAAGCAGCCCCCTGCTGGAGGAGGAGGAGCCGCCAGCCATTGAAGCTCCTCCTGACATCACACATGATGTCACGCTTGTGACGTCAGCCCCCCCCCCATCACCTTTGCATATGATATAAAGAGTTGCCATGCTGTGTAAAAAGAAGAAGAGCTTGCACTTCCTTTTGCTGTGTGGATTTGGCATGTTAGTTGTTCTGCCAGTGCCACTGCCCAGATCATTTGGTACCACGCTTCAACTGTTAGACCTTTAGCCGTTCGCCAGCACCTGGCAGTTTCCAGATGGGCTGCTATTAGCAGAAACAGCAGCATATATTTATATACAGTGTAGGGTTGGTTGTTTTTAAATTCTCACACTGCAGCTGTTGTCCCACACTTAGGCTTCGGTTACCTTTGAGGGAAAGATGAGGCTTGTAATGTAAATTTAATCTTTATTCTTTCTCCTTTGAAAATAGCAAAGTTCTAGCTCTCATGGCTAGAAGGGGGGGGGGATGAAAATGTGTTGACTTAATAGCAGGAGCAGCTGGCCGGCAGAAGGATGGCATTTGCGATATTGTGGAAGACAATTGTTATCGTGAGGAGATTAAGGTGGTGCCTAGCAATTTCCCTTCTCATGCCCAGATCATGTCTAAATCCTGAGCCGTTAAGTGGTTAATTCTGTTTATTCCACAAATAAGCAGCCTAGTTTCTCATGGGATATAAATGTGCATGAATGTTTATCTTTAAGATAAGGCTGCAGCTGACACCTGGAGTAAAGAGTCCTTGGAAGTTATGTGTGTTGACTTCCTGCCTAGTATTATTTAGTATTTCAACTCTGATGGGAAGTGGATGTTTTACCCAAACACAAGCTGTGGTTTACGTAACTTTGGTGAAGATGGGCCCCAAGGGCATATAAGCCCCAGGGACTGTGTTGGTGAGAACCTCTGGACGGTCTTCAGGGGTCATGCCTGTTCCTGAGAGAGTTCCCAGGAACCC